AGGAATGCGTTGTTAACATCAAGTTGTTCTAAATGCCAGTCCTTAATAGCAGCCACAGATAGAAGGGTGCGAATTGTTGTGAGCTTAGCAACTGGTGAGAAGGTATCAAAATAATCCACACCCTCTAGTTGAGTGTATCCCTTTGCCACCAAACGGGCCTTGTATCGTTCAATGGATCCATCAGCATGATGCTTGATCTTGTAGACCCATTTGCAACCAATTGGTTGCTTACCTGCAGGCAAATCAACAACAGACCAAGTGTTTGTGGATACAAGAGCATCTAACTCAGATTTCATAGCAAGATTCCAACAGTCAAACTTACAGGCTTGTTTATAGGTTTTGGGTTCTGTAAGGGAACTAATGGATAGGCAAAACTGTTTGTGACAAGGACTACATTTTTCATATGACAATACAGAAGAAAGAGGGTAAGGAAAGTTACCTGGAGTAGATGTTGGCAGCATTGAGGATAGCAAATTGCAGTGATATTCAGAGAGATAAGCTGGTGGTTTTGTGAGTCTGTTAGATTTTCTGGTTGGTACAGGAGGGGAAGTAGGAGAGATTATGTTATGTGGTGAAGGAGGTAATTGGTGAAAAGAGGGAGAAGAGATGATGTCATGTGGTGAAGGAGGTAAAGTATGAAGAGATGAAGGAGAGGTAGGTTCATTTGGTGAAGTTAAGGATGGTGGAATATCTGTGAGAATGTCAAACGTGTCAAAGGTATTTGTATCAGGGTTGATACTGACAGAATGATTTTCAGGTGGGGGTGAAGCAAAAGGAAAGATAGTTTTATGGAAGATTACATTCCTTGAAACATAAAATTCATGGGTGAGAGGGTCATAAAGGAGGTAGCCTTTGGTGCCTTCCCTATATCCAAGGAAGATGGATTTTCTTGCCCTTGGTGCAAATTTTGTTCGATTGTTATGTAAGGTCGAGGAGTATGCAAGACATCCAAAAAAATTTAAATGAGTAAGGCTGGGAGGAGTAGAATGAAGCATTTGATAAGGGGTGAGGTCGTTCAAAAGAGGGGTGGGAAGTATGTTGATAATGTGAACGGCTTGTTATATGGAGAGGTGCCAAAGGTTATGAGGGAGATGAGAGTGAAAAGAAAGAGCACGTGCAACATTCAAAATATGTTGATGCTTTCTTTCCACGATGCCGTTTTGTTGAGGTGTTTCAACACATGACCTATGATGGATGATACCTCGAGAAAGGTAAAAACTAGTCATGAGAAACTCAAGCCCATTGTCACTACGAAGACATTTGAGTTTCTTATTGAATTGAGTTTCTATGAAGGAAATGAAATTAATTAAGTGAGTTCGGGTTTCACTTTTATTTTTCATGAAAATTGTCCAAGTAAACCTGCTGTAATCATCTACAAGTGTTAGAAAATACTTATGACCACATATGGAAGGGGTGGAAAGAGGTCCCCATATATCAGCATGAATTAAATCAAAAATGGCAACATATTTAGTATTACTATGAGCAAAGGGTAAATTTCTTTGTTTAGCCAAATGGCAAGTATGACAAGGTTTATGATTGTCATTGAAAGTGACAGAAGGAAATTGAGATGAAATACATTTGTGTATATGAGAACTTAAATGTCCTAGTCTAAAATGCCAAATGGTGGCAGGATCAGGTTTAGAAGAATGTAAATGAGTAGAGATGGTGTTGACAGAATCAGGTGTGGGAGAGAGATCCAGAGATGAGGTAGTGTCAAGCACATACAATTTGCCAATCCTCCTAGTTGTAAATCCAGTCATCTTGGGATGGAGTAGCTGCACAATTTTACAACAATTAGGGTAGAGTTTGACATCATATAAGGTGGAATCAAATAGAGTAGTAACAGAGATAATGTTGACATGAAATGAAGGAAAATAGTAAACATTATGAAGGACAAGGGAGTCATATAACAAAACTAAACCAGCTATTGTGGTAGTAACAGTGTCACCATTAGGCATGGTCATAGATTTGGGTGCAATGTGATATGTGGAAAAATAACTGTCAAAGATATGAGTGATGGGATCAGTGGCACCAGTGTCAATGATCCACCATTGACTAGTATTATCACATTGGGGTTTTGAAAGATTCTTACCAGATGAGGGAGAGGGAGAGGGAGAGGTATGAGAGACAGAATTTGTAGCAAAAAGAGAATTAACTGAAGAAGGTGGATTAGATTGCAAGTTGGATTGTTGGAGGAGCTGTAAAATCTGAGTATATTGCTCTTGAATAGTAGACAAAGAAGCACTTGATCCATTTGTTGATGAGGAAGCGGATGATGATGAGGAAATTGGAGCAGAACCAGCATCTTGAACAAAGTTCACCACAGAAGCATTTCTAGCAGGTGATGAGGAATTTGCCTTACGATGTTGAAACCCAGGAGGATACCCGTGCTTGATGAAACAAGTCTCGATAGTGTGGTTAGTGCGACCACAGTGAGTGCATAGCCGGTTTCCACGGCCACGACCACGACCGGAGTTATGAGAAGAACGAGAAGGCGTTTGAGAAGAGTAATTCACCGACGATTGATTCTCAATGGAAGAATCAGTGGTTGAATGGAGATTGAACAGGCGTTCTTGTTGAAGAATCAGATTGAACGCATTGTCAAGGGTTGGAAGTGGAGACATCAGCATAATATGTGAACGAACATGAGAGTATTGATCACCAAGACCTTTCAAGAACTTGATTACGTTATCTTGCTCCTTGAATTTGCGTAGATCTATAGCAGCACCATAAGAACACGGTAAAGCACAAGTACAATCACGAATTGGGCAAAAAGTTTCGATTTCTTCCCAAAGCGTCATCAATTTGGTGAAATACGAAGAGATATCAAGAGTTCCTTGTTGAAAACGAGCTACTTCCTCTTGAATATCAGTAATGCGAAAAAATATCACCCTGAGAGAACCGGTTTTCCAAACTCTTCCATACAAGAGAAGCACGATCACACCAGAGGAGAGATTTTGCAATATCTTCAGAGATCGAACGTTAAAGCCATGAGAGGACGAGGTTGTTACATCGAAGCCAGGGTTCATAGAGAGGATCAGAGATAGGAGGAGGAGAAAGAGTGCCATCAACAAATTTTACCTTGTTCTTGGAGATAAGAGTCACCTTCATCGATCTGCACCAAATTTGATAATTCTTGTTATCAAGCACAGGTTGAACGAGAATAAGAGATGGTTTCTCACTCGGATGCATATAATATGGATTGGAGGGATTGGTAGCAAAATCAGAGTAAGAAATCACCATTGTTAAGGTGATTCAGCAAGAAAAAGGAATTGCATAACGCAAAGAGGAAGATGAATCGCGGGAAAAAAAAAGATTTTCAAACTGATACCATGTTAACTTTGAAAGGTATATTCATTATAAACTATTTCAGTTACAACTAAGATTAGTTATAACTAAGATTAGTTACAACTAAGATTAACTTAACTCCTAACTTAACTCCTAACTAACTAACTCCTAACTTAAATCGCGAAACTAACTATCTCTTAACTTAGCTCCTAACTTAACTCTTAGCTAAACTAATTCAATTACAACTAAAATTAATTAGAGTTAGTATTTATATCACTATTTTCATCATGTAATATTTAAGTTAAATTTAAAAAATTTTAAATATGTCACTCTCATTTTGTCATTTTTTAATATATTAATAGTTACTATTTTTCTATTTATGATATATAATTATTACTCTGTATAATATTTTATATTTATGAAATATTTTATTTAAGTTAAATTTAAAAAATTTCAAATATTTTATATTACTCTTTCTTTCACTTTATATCTATATCAGTTAAGAATTTTATATTACTCTTTCACTCTATATCTATATCATATATCTATATCATGTAATTGTTAATTTATTTATTATTAATTTTTTAAAATTTTACAAAATGGTCCTCAAATATTATGAAAATTACAAATTCATTCCTAAAATTTTTAAAAATTGTAAATAAATTTCTAAAAAATTTCAAAATATTCAAATTAGTCTCTTCAAATTTTCAAAAATTGCAATTTAGTCCTTATTTTTTTCATTTTAAATTTTATGAAAATATCCCAAAAAATTTAACAATAAATCATTTTAATACTCCATCCAAACACACTCTTAAGATTTTATGGATGAAAAATTACAATATCAATCTCAAAAAAAAAGTTTTTAAATTTATTGCACGTATTATTAAATAATTAAATGTAATAATTTTATCAAATTATCCTGGTTATCATAATAAATATGTAATATAATGTAATGGACAATGAGTATTCTTAGGATAAAGTTGGGGAAATTTAATTAACGTTAAAAAAAACTTATTTTTTGACAAATTTTTTTCTCTATGAAATCTCTTATTTTGAAAGATAAGGAGTAGTCACTTCATAAATATTGACGGCAACTATGGTTTATGCGGATGCTGGTCCCAAAAATTGGAAGCTCTTTAATTACTTTTGAGTGAAATAAGCCTAAAAAGTTTTTGCTAAATGGACCCCCTAATTAATAATACAAAATATTATTCATAGTCTAATATTTACTTGAAATATTTTTTAAAATGTAATATTGAATCAAAGTAAGCCAATGGACTTGTTCATTTTGTCTTGGATCTCAACAAAATAATACTTTGAGTAACTATCAAATGACCAATTTATATATATTTTCACCCAAAAAATGAATCAAACTAACCATTATCCCTTACAGAAATTAAAATTATCAGCAATAATATTTGTGATGCAAAATGGATTATTCTTTCTATCCTCTCCTTTGCCATCAAAATACACTTCAAACACTAATTTAAGAAAATCTCAACCATTGAATCAACATTAGATAAACAATACTTTAACTTCAACCAAATCAAATTTCACATTACCATAATACAAATTGTTCAATCTTAATCCATACATCAAAACTTATGATCATAGTAATGGCAAGACATTAAATCTTCACCCATACATAATCCAACGACAACCAACGATCAACACACGAAACACAAAACAAAACATGTTACCTTAAAGAAACCTCAGCATGCAGAAGTAGGGTAACCACTTGTTGTTGGAACCTGAATTACAGAAGAACATTCCCTATTATTACTCCCAAGTTGCAATTCTGAAACACAACCCATTGTTGTTTCATCTTTTCCATCAACAACTCCTTGATCATAAACAAACCCTTTGAACAAATGGCCGTTTATATTCACAGTAGCCAGGTAAGCAATTTCCTCTTCATCACCATTGCCAATGCCAGAAACTCTATGACACTTGAAAACAGCAGGTGCAGTCACATATCTTGGCAAAGATTGCTTGAAACCAACATCTGCAAAACATTACATCAACTATCAATCAACTATCAACTGTAACAATCTGAAAAAATTATTACTGGTGTCGTCGTGTCAGTGTCAGAGTCTAGAATAGAAAATAGAAAATGAAAGTAAAAGTAAAGTGCCTTGGTGAGAAGAGCTGGTGATATCCAAGCTTAAGCTTCTTGTAGTAGCAGCATTAGAACTGGAACTATGAGAGGTGGCAGCAAAATTATCATGTGATGATGATGCTACAAAAATCCTCGGTCTCTTAGTTCCAGAAGAACCATCACTGTCACCACCACCTTCAGCCACCACCATATGGCGGTCCCGCCGCATGGAAGCCGGAGTCCACGTGCTCCTCACGTGAGTACTACAATCAAACCCACGACCTTTACAACAAGTCCTGCATCTTTTAAAGCTACAATCTTTCTTAGCTCTGTTTCCACAATCCTGACACACCCTAAACTCGCCATTCTCCTCACAACCCATCATCAAATTTTGAATCTTTTCATCCTCTTCTTCAACCCCTTTTCTTGTTGAATCCATCATCATCATCACTTGCTGTGGTTGACACATCTTGAGATTCCAAAAGTTTGAGTCTTGATTATTATTATTGTTGCTATCAATGTGAGTGGTGGTCAGGAGTGGGAAAATTCCAAGACCAACACTGAGAGCTGATGATGAAGGTAGAGGAAGGTTAGGAGGATGATCTGATGAAATGGGTTGGTTTTGTTGTTGGTGGTGGTGAAGTGAGGAAGGGGTTTGGGCTATGAGAACCAAGTCTCTTAAACCAAACATGTTGTGAAATTTGATTGAGATTGTTGTTGTTTGAGGTGGTGTGATTTTTGTTGGCTTTAGAAAATGGAGATTTTGGAACAGAAATGCGTTGCTGCTATAGGTTTGAATTCTGACACTGCAATCTCTACCTACATATTCTCTGTTTTTTTCTTTATAAATAAGACGCAAAGAAGTACTAGTAAGTTTTCATTGGAATTTGATGTGAAAATATATAAACAAAATTCTTATTTATAAACAAAATATAAGCAAAGAAGTACCATGTAATCCCTCCTATCTTATTTATAAACAAAATTCTTTTAAATTTTTTATCCTTAAATACAAATAAATGCCAAAAAAATTTAAATATATATAAGATCTTTATTTCAAATATTAATGATTTAATATTGTTAGTAAATAATAATTTAATTTAAAATAAATTAATAATTTTATTTTTATATGATATTAAATAATTAAATACACTTAAATAACATTTTTAATAAAAAAAGTTGTCTTTTTTATTTATAATTATTTTAAAAATGTGAAAATATGAAATAACTTAATATAATTAAAAATACTATATATGAGAAGTTGGTGTATTCCATCCCAAAATATAAAAAAAAAATTTATTTTTAAAAATGAAATTATCTACAAACTCTTTAATTTATCTCTCTTATTTTATTCATAATTAATAGTTAATTAGAATTATTTTTATAAGAAAATTATGAAAATATAAATAAAAAATCATGTCCTAATTAATTATATTTTGTTTTTTATAATAAATATGAACTTTATTTTGTTAGTTATTTTGTTGGAATGCGGAAGAAAATATGTAATTAAAAATTAAAATAAAAAGAAAAATACTATTGTTTTGATTTTTTTATGAGTCTTGATATTTTATACTTCGATCTAGGGCTGGCAATGAACCAAACCAACTCGAAGATAGTTCGGAATTCGACTCGACAATTAAATCGTTGAACTAGGTTCATGAACCAAATGAGTTGAGTATGAGCGAAAAATTAAGTTCGTTAACTAAATGAGCTGAACTTGAACTATACATAGTTCGACTCGTTAGGTTCATGAGTCAACTCGATTACATATGAAAAATATTATACTGTCTTTAAGATTATGTTTAAATATTTACTTCAAATCTTAGACAAATTTAATCTTCAATTTAGTAGTTTTTGAATTAGACTCTCAAATGTATCTCTTGAAAGTTGTGTAGGTTTTGAATTAGTAGATTTCGAAGATAAAGTTAAATTTCAATATGATAACTTTTATTTTATTTTAATATTTTATTTAAAATATATATATTTATTTAAAATGTCAAATATACTAAAAAATATATATATTTAAAAAAATAGTTTTTAAGTTCGTGAACCATGTGAGCTGAACCTAATGAGATGAACCTAACGAGTCGAACCGAACTGTTCGTGAACTTATAACGAGTCGAGTTTGAGCTTAAAAAAAAGTTCGTGTCAAACTCGAACTCGAACTCGAATTCGAACAATTCTTAACGAGTCGAGCCGAGCTGAGGTGAGTTCGACTCGACTCGACTCATTTCCAGCCCTACTTCGATCTGAAGTGTCATTTTGTTTAGTATTACTTTTATCAAAAATTAAATTTGATATCTTTTAAACATTTGTTTTTTAATAGAGGTTTGTTGATCATTTGAGTACAAGTGTTTGGTCTTTAATATTATAGAAAATGCAACATTTATTTTTTCCATTCTTTATTATAAAATAAATAAATTTATTAAATAATATAATTTGTTAGTAATTAGAAATGAACGATAGATTAAAAATTATAATTTGTTTAGAATGAATAGAGTAGTAATTAGGAATGAACCATGCAGAGTAGAGGGTATTTGCATCTCTAAATATGATTGTCATTTTTTAAATATATATTGTATTATTATATTTATTATGTTTTTATATGGTATTATTAATAAAATTCTAAAGTATTTAATTGAAATTTAGATGATGGTGATATTTGATGAATGAGTTTTTATATCGGATAGCATAAAGTTTGGCATGCATGATCTCTATCTATGATAAAAACAAAAACAAAAACAAAAATGAAAAGAAGAGTAAATGGAGGACCATACTGCAATCTAGGTTAGATCTTATAGAGTTTAGAGTCTACATATAGGGCATGATGACAACCTAGCCTAACTCTAACTCTAATAGCCTCATAGATAATAGGTTCATAGATTTGCCTTATTGGAAACAAAATAGGCATAGCCATAGCACCTAAAACCTATAACTCTATGACAAAAAAAGTATGGCTAATAAGATGAAACTTGGCCCCTACTTTCATGTTTTACACTTCACCCAAATGGATCAATAGCAACGTGTCATAGTCAGAACTTCTTTATCAACCTATACATTCATTTATTTTTTTCATAAAAATGCTCATATTATCATTTCACTTTTCACATAAACTACTAGTACTAGTAGTAACAAATATTTATAAATTAATGTTTCATGCATTCTCTTTTTTAAATAAATTTTAGTTTTTAAATTCATTTGATAAATAATATAATTTAATAGAATTTAAAAATAAATATTATTTATAAAAGAGAATAAAGTGAGTGAGTAAATTTAATATATATATATATATATATATATATATATATATATATATATATATATATATATAAAACTTATTTTTCTATCAATTTTATTTTTATTTTATTCAACTTTCTTTGAAATTATTATTGTCATCTTTTATATAATTTTTTATTATTAATTTTAAAAAAAAACTTATTTAAAATTAGTATTAAATAAAAAATATTATTTATATTTTTATGTATATGTATTAAAAAAAATGGATAGACAGACACACGAATACTTTTTTAGACGCTAATAAAATAATAATTTATATTTTATTGGGATGAGCTTTTAAAAAAAATTATTTTAATAATTAATATTTTCAACTAGATTTTCAAAGTAATCATGATTTATAACTATTTTTTTAAATTAATCCATTTCAAAAAAATATATTGGATTAAGAGATATGGTCAATCTAATTGGTAATCTTTTATAAGAAGTGTTTCTAACAAAATTGGCGTAGAAGATTTAAAGGGAGACTTTAAATATTTTAAATTGAGATGTTGATATATACTATATTAGTTAAATAATATATTTAAATTTAAATAATTAAAATACACTAACAACTAAAAATAATAATATATAACATTATTTAATAAATGTGTTTATTATTATGGAAGAGAAAGCTTATTGTTAAACATTTGTCACTCTCAAATTTCAAACTAATGCAAAAAATACTGAAATGTATTATTTAAAATATATTTTAATTGGATAATCTATAACTTAACAAAAATTTGATTGATGTACTTAATTTAATATTAGAGGAGTGCTATTCTTACACTACCTTTTTTCATACACCCGTATCATACCGAACATTTCAACAAAACAAAGTTTTGGTTGCACAAAACTCTAAGTAAAATAAATGAATAAAATAATAAAACTAGTATATTTTATGTATATTAATACAGTGTATGTGTTAAAACTGTTGTAAACATATATTTTCCATTAATATTATGTTAATATTAATTTATGTTTTAAAGACACGAGTTAAATATTGTTTAAAATATGTATTTAAACTTTTTTAAATTTAAAATATTATATTAATTAATAATAAAAATATTTTTATACTTTATTTCAATAAAGCTTAAATTAGCAATATTTTGAATTTGGTTGACAAAATATTTTTTAATTTATAATTTATGACTTATAATTTATAAGCTCTTATGACAATAAAAGACTTATTTGATAATAATCTTTTCATCACAAACGTATAGTTTATTTTATTAATTTATAATTTATTTTTTAAACGCTATTTTAAATAATCTTTTATATTATAGCTTATAACTTATCATTTTTCTTTCACTTTTATCTTTATTAATTTAAGTAAAACCAACTACTATCCTTTATAATTTTAAATAAATTATTATTATTAAATATCTTTTATGTCATTTTATTTTATCAGCTAATTAAACTGCTAATTTTATCAAACACTTTAATTAGTTTATTAATTATAAGTCATTATTCACTAGCTATCAGTCACTCGCTATCAATCATAAGTTATAAACTATCAGCTAACTTATCAGTCAACCGCTATTTTTATCAGACAGAGCCTAACAATTATTTGCAATTAAATTATTTTAGATAAATATTTTTTATTAAAAAGATAATTTTATTTCATAAAAAAATTAATATTTTAAAGTTTTATTCATTCTCAGTTGATTTATAAATAATTAGTTGTATTTATTAATTTATTTTATTAAATAAAAATCATGCATATTTGCATAGCTTTCAAATAGGATTCTTGATCTTCCTGCCAATAAATTATGAGAATTTCTTATTCTAAAAAAAAGTTAGAAAAATATTCTATGAAAAATTTAAAATACTCTTCAAATTTTAAAGATTTATTTATGAAGATACTTTGCACCACTCTATAACGCACAAAATGAATATAACTCACCAGTAAAACAAAATTTTATATCAAAGATGTATTTATGAATATTTTCAACAAATATATTAATATTTGAGCAGTTCAGTGAATATTTCAAAGACACGTCTTCGGAGATTGAGGCAGAATTTTAAAATATCTATCACCTTTGTATGTCAAGTATTTTTGGAAATGCATCTCTTGAATAAGGAAATGTGATTTTATTAAAACAGTCACATGTGTGATCACAGACTCATACTTCTTTTTCATTCAAAACTCTTCTCCAAAAATCTTTTTATTCTCGATCAATATTTTTACTCCAAATCTTCATTCTTGTGTTTCATCACATCAAAAGGAGTGCAAGAAGCTGAAATTTCAGATAAAGATCATTCATTTTAAATCTCATTGATCACATTAAGTTTGTTTTTAGTCTGGAAAAAAATGTGCATTGATCACATTATGTTATGAATGATAATTTTATTTTGTCAAAATACAACTTTCTAATTTTCTACTTTTTTTTCTGTTTTAGTATGTTACGGATATGCATC